AGTCTTAGAAGGGCTCGACACAGATCGCCTGGAAGCAGGCTAGACTTCGTTTTTGGAGTAAAAAGCAAAGCAGATAAATTTTTTCTTTTTGACTATTTTTTCCAGATTGAAACATTAACATCCGAGCAGCAATACATACTGGACAGCAACTACAACCATAGCTACAACTACACGATAATAATACTCGTGGGTCTCCAGTCCTGGCCTCGAAAATACTGTGAAAGACCCGCTTGGGTACTTAATAACCGTATACCTAATTCTCTTCTAATTAGTTAACAAGTTATAAATTTTTCAATTAATGCGTAAATTTTAGGTCCTGAAAAGGTCTGGATTTGTGCAGCAAGCGCAGGAGGCATCACGTGAGCCATCGCGTGAGCCGCTGATGACGACCAGCCGCCAGTCATCACAGCCCCCGGTGGTGGCTGGTACCTCGGGCGTTGGGAGCTTCCAGCTCCCAGCGCCCGCGGCATACCCTATGTTGACCTCAAGAGAGTGTGCATCTGCACATCCCCCTGAGGTCAACATAGGATATGCCGCGGAGAAGAAAGTCGATGTCTTAGATGTATCAAAGGTCAAGTGAGTTCCAACGTAATATCGAATGGGCAAACTCAACCCTAAGCAGCCCAGGCTTTCCCATCCAAACACCATTAGTGGACAGCTCCCTTCAAAACAGTTTGCTTGGGAATGGTACTCTCCTAATGTGTTAATTAGGAAGACCATGACAGCAGAAAAGAAGAAATGCGCCTACCGGTTAAGGCAATTGGCTCATGAGCGGAACCGGAAAAAGATGCCAAGTGGGTGGTGTTATTACATACTTCCCAACTTTTTCGTTGAGAAATAAAAAAAATTGGGAAACATGTAAAGAAGTATAGCACTGCTGCTTTTCTTTATATAATCCCACCGAGCAAGAAGTTTTGTCAGGAATTAGATTTAAACGCTTTTCTCTGGGAATTTAAACTGGATCTATCAATTACTGAAACGTCGCTGAACGGAAATGTACTTGATTTAGTCGTCGGTGATTTACCATAAGCTATTTACAGGAAAGACAGGTGCGAACGCAAAGGAGTTGGGATCCGTTGCCTTTCAGAAGGACTGATACTATCTTGGAGAGTCTATTGCAGCTTCAACGTGTTAGCGATGCTTGCTGTGAATGTCTTCCCCATTTACCCATATGCCATTTACAAAAGGTAACAGATGCATCAGCAAGGTCGACTGCAGTCCCTATATGTTGGCGGATGTATGTTTACTCTCCAATGCAATATACTGCCTATCACACATTCAGCGAATAATGATAATGAATAGTTGATAGGGGCTATGACTTCGTATACATATGCGCCTGGGCAAGATGAAACGATAATTCTGGAAGTTTCAACTTGCAAATCGATTGAAATTCTTTACAAGCTTCAAGTTATGGCTCTGTTCTTTTTTCTTAAATATTTTGTTGAGTGTGGGCTTCATCAGTTGTATCCTGTCTTATACATAAACACTGCACACTTGATCTTGTTCTCCATTCTGCAGTTCAATCAACCAACATATAGGCTGCTGCATGACGAAGGCGCAATATCTTCGAGCGCGAACGTGGCTTTATTAGCCTCAGAGCGCATGAGGTGCAGGTTTTTATAACGGTGAAGATACATGCGCGCCGCATTCGCGACCGTTCAGCTAATACTGCTCCTGCGCCTTTGTCATGCAGTAGCCTTTCGTCTTACCACCATTAGGCTTCACGGGTCATGGACTAGTTTGCTTCGAGGTACCGTATCTTCTTCGCTTGTGTTTTCTCTGCCTGACTTTCATCGAGTTGATTATACAGCACTGAATGAGTATATCTCCTGCATTGATTAGCCTTTCTTGTTTGACCAGTATGATTCTTTCCCGAATTCCATATAGCCTTAACCAAGATTGAAAAATGTTTATTCTATCGATCTAACTTTTCGCCTTCCTCAGAGAGTGAAAAAATCGAAAATTGTTGCGACCCACTCTCTCAGCACTCACAAGGGGAAGATATAGTCGTCCTCCCCCCACTAGACACCTCGTGAACGAATTCGAATTTGAAGTAGAGCAGCCGGATGCGGCAGAGCGCGACACCGTCAAATGCTCAAGCTAATTCAGTTTTCTTTTGTGTTTTATCGTCGTTGCATTGTGATTTTTTGTTTAAATGATGAATGTAATCAGAATTGAAAGTCTGTTGTTCTTCAGTGATGTTTCGTGCTACTATGCTCGTTTCTTTACTCTGTTTCTGGGAAAGGCTGGAAAAACGATGCAATTGGGGAGTTTTTGACATGAATTGCTCACTGAAGCAACTCTTCAAGACTTACCGAGAAAAATCACACCAGCTTTCAAACTTGTGTCTTCTAAACTCAACTTGGAATCGTACTCAAGAAACGAGCAGCACAATTCATCGCTCAAACAAAAGCAACAACTGAGAGAACTGTCAGCGTTCAAAAATTGGGTTGAAACGTCGGGAAAACACAAAAAAATTGTTTGAGATCGAAGTAGGAGCGCAGGTGCAGCGTTCTGCCGCAACCGCCGTGCTCCACTTCAAATTCGAATTCGTCCATTAGGTGTCTAGTGGGGGGAGGACGACTATACCAAATCTCAGTGGCGAACTAAATAGAATGAATTACGTGATAGCAGATGCGTCTTAATGAGCTGAAGCCAAATCTACTCTGCGTATCTGCTGCGCTTGAAAATGTGAGGAGCTTAGAGTTTTTATGCATAATATGCATTTAAATCAAGCTCAGAAGTACGTAAATGGCAAGGTGTACAGTGCGCTGACTACAAGGAATGCACATATTAATCATAAACATAAACAAATGCTTCTGAACAACTAACTCATACCACCGTACGTTTGCCATAGTTAAATTTTCAAACGCTCATGAATTTTTTCACGAAATCTCGCAGAGACAAGGAAGTTAAATTTGAATTTAGCACAACAAGGCACACCGAATAATATGCGTCTCGCTCCACATCTCCACTGAGATCTGGGATTCTTCCTTAGCTCCTTCCAAAGACACTGTCTAACAGCAACGTAGTTATGGAAATGGTAGCAGAGGGCCAGTAAAGTCAATGATCACCTCGATAGCCTTTCTAGGCAGAACGCAAATGACCAACGACCTCAGCGCGGATGGAAAAAGAACTGCCAGTTTATCTAGAGATCTCGTTTCACTTTTAATGTGCGATCTTCCCATCTTTGAAGAGCTTGCTACAACATAGATTTACAGCGTGGAGTGAAACAGATGGCTCTTCTTACTATTAGATTGCTTTAGGTAAATTTGGCATGTGGCGTCTCTGTGTAAAATTGGCCAATTTGATTCACTTCAAAAAAGTCTGAAAATTTATGTAATAGGTTTCCAACAGAAGCCGAATTTTATCAATTTTGTACAATTGTGAAGCTTTCTCAACGATAACTATATTTTCTAGCAACATAAAAAAGCTAATACTGCTTAGCTGGCATAACTTTTTAAGGAATCATCATAAAGAGATGCAAAACTCCTTCTTTGAATCAGCAAATTTAATTCCTACTGTGAAAGTTTCTAGGTCTTTTTGTTTCCTTTCTGAGTCAAAATAGACCCTCCATTGCTGAAAACCCTCCTTATTCCTATTCAATCTGATATCAATAAAGAGAGATGGGTGATTCGCTTTATACTCTGAATGTAAGCTGAAGCCAGTTTCATAAAGAGGTACATGAAGTCCGCGGACTATGACAAGAAAGTTTCTAACAAGCAAACAGTAGGCACATTTTTGGGACACCCTGTATGTCCAATATTTCATAAAGAACTAAATGTTTTCACAAACCCAGCAGCAAAAACGTTACAGTGCACTATAGCTCTGCTCACCCTTGGAGCACAAAAAAGTCGGTGGTAAGCAGCATGTATATGACGGCGAAGGCGTCTCTTCAGGCGCGTACGAACGCATTGCATCACTAGATTTGGCAAAGCAGATAGCGCACCAATGTTTACCTTTTAAGGGTCAACCAGTCAACATAACACTGCTGATTACAACGAAATCGGCTCACAAAAGAACGGGTTCCTAGATACTCAATTTGCCTTCTGTTTGTTCGTGATGATTTTATCAGAGCTATCACGAAAAATTCGCGCACGACTACGAGATGATCCTAGGGTCATAGACGGCCGTCATCCTATCTCAGAAATTAGCTAATTCGCAATCGCGCATATGACCACTTGAGGGTAGGGGGATTGCATGGGGTCCTGCGGCCTGTATTACCACATGTCTATCATGTGAGGATCAGTACATTGGAGAAACCAGCAGGCTTAGTGCGCACGGATCAAGGAGTACCTAGAATGTTTCGAAAAAACGGAAGTGTCTATCGGCGATCGGCCGGAGTAAAGAAGACCGAAATTGCGTTAGTGTTGTGAGACAGAGTAGATCCGACGTATGCGTAATGAGGAGGGCATGCCATATCGTGGAAGCGCTCAGACAGTCGAAAAGGTACCTCCAGCGGGCAAATGGTGCGAGTCTGCCACTTCGCGCTCTGGAGCGCTCCGGAGCCCTGCCATTTCAGCATTTTGCTGCTCCGGGGCTCTTCCAAAACTAGCGCAGCTCCGGAGCAGAGATCCGACGTCCCGGAGAGGGGTCCTATTCGTTCACCGTGACGTTCAGAGCGCGAATTGGCAGACTCGCGCCATTTGCCCGCCGGAGGTATCCCTTCGACTGTCTGAGCGAGTATCACTATGGACTTCAGCAGGTGCCACACGGAAAGACTTCAGCTCAATGACGCTATGACTCAATGACCTAAATGAAAGTAGCTCCAATTGCCCAGAAAATGCAGGAAAAAAATCAAGATGGTACGGCCGTGAGCTTAGAAGGCATAAGCGGAACCAATATAAGAGTAAAAAGAGTATCTCATCCGCGATTCAAAAAATATGGAGATTTGCTATATCATGGAAAAGACGCCCTTTGCGCACTATTCATGGCACTTAAAAAGTTTTTAGTTGTCTTGTTTTCTTCATAAGCCTCTTCCTGATTCAAATCACAAATATTTATCGTTTTGGAAAAACAAAATCGGTGGCGAAAATTATCCGATCCGGTTGAAGGCTAATCATTGCGCGTTCGGCTTGGGCGCCAAGTGGTAGTGGGAGCGGTAAGCTGATACGAGAACGAAATACTTCCGATAATATTGAGAACATCTGAAAGGGTTTGAAGAACAGACAAAAGAGCCAATTTGAGACTTCTAGTAGAAAAATTACCTGCTCGCTATACTGTTTTGAACGATCATCCGTGTCTATAATTTCCGATTTTAGTCGAAGCTGAAGTTTGAGCTGGTTGCTAAATGAGATTTCAATATATGAGCGGTTTTGATGAAATGATTATTCCAAAGTTAGAAAATTACAAAGCTTACTTGTATAAAACTGTCACCGAATATTTCTTGGTAAGAATTGTCTCCTCACCATCGTGGAACCGCAGTAAGAGAGTTAGTAATATATTGGCCGTTTTTGTAGCTGAAGCGAGTCATCTCGGAGTTGGAAAAAAATTAGATACATTATCGTTGTGCTTGAATGAAGTATGCAAACTCACTTTCCATATTTCTTACTGTGATAAATGCCTTTTGACAAGTGATCAGAACGTCTTTTTCGTCACTGGTGAAGTTTCTGAAATTTAAATTGCTTTTTAAATTTAGAGATACTGTTAGTCATACGAAAAATGTCTGTTCCAATCCAATCATAGTAGATTAATTTGCGAAAAATAGCAAATATTTCGAAAGTTGCGGATGCTTAAGGATTTTCTGTAAAGGGGGAGGGGTCATTCTGAATGCGGGGAGGAGGAGTCATTCTGAATGTGTTCGAGTTGAATGGGACCTCACAGCCAAGATTGCATCGCGAGAATGTCGAAAGTACATTACTACCTTTTTTTAAACTTTTCCAACATCAAAAACCATAATGCCGCTAGATTTTCAAAAAAAATCATTATATCTTTAGACCCGCAGTTACAAAACGGTGTAGGGACTACCAAGTAAATGTTTTTTTATTTGATGTGATTTTCGTCCTTTCAAAATTTTCGTTTTTAAAGGCAGTACATCGGCAGAGTGAGACCCGTGACAAAACAAGGTCACAGGGTAGGAGCCCTCACATGGAACCTATGGGCCAAAGTTCGGTCTTTCTCTGCCACTTCTAACCTCCGAAATTTCAAAGCGAAAGCAGCGTTCATCTCCTGTCCTCTCCGAACCCCGCCCACCCCATGGACGAGTGACTTCCGCGGTCAGAGCGCCAGCCGCACTATAAGCATGAGGTCCCGCAACGACTCTGCGTCTTCGCCATGACGGGCTTCGTGTTCACTCGTCCATGGGGTGGGTGGGTTCGGAGAGGACAGGAGATGAGCGCTGCTTCCGCGTTAAAATTTCGGGGTTAAAAGTGGCAGAGAAAGATCGGACTTTGGCCGATAGCTTCCATATGGGGGCTCCTACCCTGTGACCTTGTTTTGTCACGGGTCTCATTCTGCCGAGGTACTGCCTTTAACAGTAGTTTCATTCCATATCGGCTGAAATTAATTTTTTTATAGTAAGGCTGTTCGACTTTCACATTCAAATAAAACTCTCAAGCTGTGGGTAGTCCCTCCCGATTTACGAGAAACTCGTACCCACCCATCTATGAATCCACGCCGGCATACGGCTTGCACTATTTCCGACAATAAATTCTCATGTATTTGGTATATGACGTCATGATCAGAGTCTATCGTGGTGGGAGTAAAATTTGCTCCAACATGGCTATCAGCGGTCACTCCCTTGTGGAAAGTGCGAACTGCACCGTTCGGAAGCAAAAGTGGCTGTCCAGATAGCAAGTAGCTGACTGTTATGGCTAAAATAATTTTTACACATGTAAAAAGTTAAACAAAAAAATTACGGACCTTCATTGACTGGTAATAGCAGATTGAATTTAGCTAGTGACCCACGAATTTCTTTGTCAAGAATCCCCACAAGTGAGTCGCAGAAAATGCCTTCGAGATCTTCTCTGTAAGAACTGCTTGGGAAGAAATGGTTGAAGGCTTATGGGATTCTGCTCCCAAAAGCTGAACATTCAAGCATTAGCAATTACTCACTCCATCGTAGATTTCAATCTTTTCTTTGCTAACCATCGTAATATTCCACCGCGCACTGACATTTTGTCCTCTTTATGAGAGATGCTGCTGAAAATAAACCCCATAACTTTTCGAAGCATAAAAAATAGAATAGCGAGGTAACTGACCATAATATCTCCTGATTGAGATATGGTATTCCTTTTATGTTCACCGGTACAAAAGGTCCAAGTGTGGCGTTCAGATCGCGAATGTTGATTTCAAAGTCACCAGTATTGTGAATGAATAGCACATTGTGTTTGTAGAGACCGTGTAGACGAGCATGGAGATGTTCGATCTGAATAGATTGATTATATGAACTACGTAAAGAAATAGTACTAGATGGCGGAGATGGCTGTGCTAAATGAGGATTCGGTGACAAGTACTCGGATAAATTGGAACAGACGATTTAAGCCAAAAACGTCATGTTTACGAAATGAGTGAATTACTGAAAGAACTCAAATAATATGGATTTTCCAGACAGCACGAATTCAGCTGTTTGGAAGATGTCCAAGCTGGCCAGCAGGCACATTTTTTATTTGAGTTCTCTCGTCAGTCAAGACTGGTTTACCATAGGATAGGCTTCAATAAAAATTCCAAGCAATGTCGAACAGACATAACAAAAGTGTTACTACTGAGCTTGCGCACTCGAACAAGATGGAAAAGCCAAAGACCCTATGCTACCGTAGAGAAAAATAGATCTGCATAGCAATTACAACAAGTAGATTTGATTTGTCATTCATAGAGATTTGCGCTACCGTATTTCACGTTAGAGAGTAGCACTGTATGAAATCTATAGCTGAATGAGCGTCTAGAAAATTCTCAAAATTGTTCACATTTGACCAAAACGTTTACGTTTTAATGTAACTGGTGCCTTGATTATCTTACTAATGATAAAGCAAATGCAAAAACGTGGTACGGAATGGAATATTATAATGCCCGAATTGTATGGAATGTTCTTATTGGGTTAAAAAGATGAACAACACATAAACGAAAGAACAAAGATTGGTTGGGTAGCTGTTTGCTAACATACCATGAATGTAATGATGTATTGAGCTTGAGAAGATCAAGGATGATGCAGAGAACTTGTGATTTGCTTATGAACCAATGTGCTCCAAAAGGCAGAACATTAGAGAAAACCTAAGCAATTGAAAACTAAACTTCATAACGTCAAAGAAACTTGTGAAACGCCCCTAAAGCATTCTAACTGATGTGATAGAGAATAGAGAAATGAATGATGATATGAATGCACGCTGAGGACAACAACAGGCTACTCACCTTCAAGTAATGATCAGTTTCTGCTAAAATATCCGATGTCGATTCCACAGTCACATTTTGCACGGTTATCTCGGTAAGTTCTATCTTACCGAGAAAACGCTTCTTGCTGACTGTGGGTATTTCATAGCCTTCTAACAATTGCTCATAATCTCTGCGAAGACTTTGAAAATATGAGTTGATTCCCTTTCGCTGGGTCTGGAACTAGGATGTTAGGTAGGGGTTAGGAGAATAATTTCTGCAATAACTTACGTCTATAACAAGATTATAAGCTGTAAGCGGATGAAACGTCTGAGCTGCAAGCCAGATGAGCAGAAATGTGTGAAGCATGAGAGTGGAATCGATAGATCGACCTGCGACAGTTGTTGAATCGCTATTGAAAACGCACTCATAAGTCATATCATTACATTGTTGACGAATGCTTCGACAAAGACAACAGCAAATGAGTCATCTAGCAAACATCTCGTCCATATCTGTGAGTATCAATTCTATACGGTTTTGGAAATTCAATTGAAATGGCTTGAATTAATGCATTTTGCGTGCATCTCAGATTACGGATTTCAACACTGTGGAATTTTGTGCATGCGGATGGCAATTACAGAATACCAAGAAATATTGGCTTGCAACGTTAACACCAAAGGTCATTTGATCCATGAAAGGCCGGTGCAATTTAGAAAAAAAACACCGAAAAGCCCATAAAATAACGGCGTTACGATTATGCCAACTTCCGCTTCTATGTCAACCAATTTAGCATAACTCTCTTCTAGTGCAGAGGAGCACGAACGATAAAATAATCAGTTCCTTGCGTTTGAGATGAATGATCAAACAATTACAAGAGCATCTTTTAAAAATGGCAAACATTCCGCTACAAATTATTTTTTTTCTTAATCTCCTTAGTACTTTATTAGTAGAATATAGTTTTCACCAATTAGGCTGGGCTGTATGATCTACGTCAGTATTAGAATCAGGGCTCGGCACAGGTGGCTTATAAGAAGCTGGATATCATTTTTGGGACGAAAAGCAAAGGGGGTTTCGTTTTTGTTGCCGAAAAGACACAAAATCTGCGACGTTTTTTTAATCGACGTTTCGTTTTTCAAAGATTTTTGGGGATTGGGGTCAAGAGGGACTTCGTAAAAATTCGCAAAAGTCAAGGGAGACTTCGTTTTTTGCATTTTAAACCAGCCACCTCGTGCCGAGCCCTGGATAGAAAGTTACGCCCGAACAGACAGCAACCTTTCAGGGTACTTTCTTCAAAAGGAGTAAGGTAAACGGCGAATACAACCTATTGCAGTTTGGCAATGACAATTTAGGCACTACTTGTAATATTTCATGTAACATATGCACAAAAATATTAACTCCTAACAATTGCATAAAATCTAACACTACTAATCTAAACATCAAAACGTATAAGACTTCAAATGCAAACTGCAAATCTACTCACTTGGTGTATTGCCTTACATGTTGTGGTTGTAAACTGCAGTATGTTGGTATTACTAAAAGAAAACTTTGTGTCAGAATAAGAGAACATATACGGGGAATCAAAAGTAAGCAAGATAATAAACTTTTTTATAAACATTTCAAGAATAGTAGTTGTAATCCTAATAATATTACAGCTATAATATTGGATAATTCACCGGAAAATATGGATCAGAATATACTTAGGGAAAAAGAACTATTTTGGATAAAATTTTTAATGACACCTATGCCTTTTGGCTTTAATGATAATATAAAAGGCTACGGTAACCTAACCATGATCGAGAACCCTTTAAATCATAGAAGTAATCATCCTTTTTTCAATCTTAGAATATCTAAAGACAGAAAAAATCGAGGGAATAATAATAAAAAAAGAAAACATCATATACACAGACAATCTGTACTTGAAGAAATCAAAAATTTCATTAACGCTTCCCCGACATATTACGAACTCTATAGATTCATCAAAAATAAAAATAAACATTATATTTCCACACTAATTAATATATCAACATTTAGTCCTGAATCTATAGATATCTTATATATAAAGCTGAATGTCTGTTTGTCTGTATGTCTGTCTGTATGTATGTACGTATGTTCCGAATAGAAAATTCCATTTCTGAACCGATCCGGACCAAACTTGGCACACATACACTACGGGCCCCGGCGGGTGTCATAGGCTACTTTTTGTCATCGATCGATATCGATTTTATCGATTTTTATCGATTTTTTTGCTGAGTTCACCTACGGGGCTGGGAGTTGGCACAGGGGGGTAATCGAGCATGGGGATTCCGAATACAATATTGGTTTTCAGGATTATCGATTACTTTTATCGATTTTATCGATTTTTTTGCAAAGTTTGAGCTACGGGGCTGGGAGTTGGCACAGGGGGGTAATCGAGCATGGGGATTCCGAATACAATATTGGTTTTCAGGATTATCGATTACTTTTATCGATTTTATCGATTTTTTGCAAGGTTTGAGCTAGGGGGCTGGGAGTTGGCACAGGGGGGTAATCGAGCATGCTGATCACCCCCAAGGGGAGTGATCAGCATGCTCGATTACACCCCTGTGCCAAATTCCAGCCCCCTAGCTCAAATTTTCAAAAAATCGATAAAATCGATAAAAGTAATGGACGATCTTGAAAACTAATATTGTATTCGTAATCAGCATGCTCGATTACCCCCTGTGCAAAATCCCAGCCTCGCATGTCAAAATTTACAAAAAATTGATAAAATCGATAAAAGTAATGGACGATCCTGAAAACTAATATTGTGTTCGTAATCAGCATGCTCGATTACCCCCCGTGCAAAATCCCAGCCTCGCATGTCAAAATTTACAAAAAATCGATAAAATCAATAAAAGTAATCGATAATTCTGAAAACTAATATTGTATTCGGAATCCCCATGCTCGATTACCCCCCTGTGCCAACTCCTAGCCCTGTAGGTGAACTCTGCAAAAAAAATCGATAAAAATCGGTAAAATCGACATCGATCGATAACGAAAAGTGGACTGTGACACCCGCCGGGGCCCGAAGTGTATGTGTGCCAAGTTTGGTCCGGATACGGCGGAGCCGGGTAAGCCAGCTAGTTCCTTCTAATTTCAAATATGCATTGTATAGTATTCTCTGTCATTACCATTTCAGCAAAGTACCCGACAAGAAAACTATTACTACATATATGAATATTAAATTTCCTTATTATAATAGCATTTTAGATAATACTAATATCAATAGAATAGTTAATAACACATCTATCATAAACCTTATTAAAACATACAGCTCTGACCTTATCAACCTATCAGACTTATATATGAATACACAAAATATGCTTCTTGTAATATATACAATTATAACAAATTTCTCAATAATCTTCACAACCTCAACATAAACGATGTCCCATGTGTTTGTAAAAACTACCAACAATACATTGACCCTACGTATAGACATGTTGTCACTGGAGATATAGACATATTTAAAACTGAACCTATATATGATGTTTTGAATAAAGGTACACAAATCAAAAGTTTATGGCTTAATTTATTTAATACAATTTGCAAAAAATACAAAATAAAATATTCCTTAGACGATGTAATTTCGACTACCATATAAAATGAATTATATAGACACTTTCTTAGACACCATAGTAGATTAATTTATAACCTTGACAATAATAGTTATAGCCTTCCTATTTCAAACATCAAACACTATCAAAAGTTCTTCATATTTTGCCCTTTGGATAAAGCTAGCTCTAATTATGGCATTATTTGCAAAAAACTTTATCTTGAAATATTAATGTCAGAAATGGGATTGAATAACAAGTCAAGTACTTCTCCTATCTATAATTATCTTGGAACATTAGACACTGGAACCATCATTACTAAACATCTACAATTTTCTAAAATCCATAATCTTAAAATTAACGAAGTCTGTACCATTCCAACTATTTACTGCATTCCCAAATTACATAAAAATCCACTTAAATTTAGATTTATTACTGGTGCTTCGAACAGCAGCATCAAACCGTTATCAGAAGAACTAATGCATATTTTCAACTTTATCCGAAACCATTTTAAAAACTATACTAAAATTGTAAGCATTAATAAAAACTGTTTTGATACCTATTGGTCTATAAATGATATTAATATTTCCCACAAATTTAACCACATTAATGCGAACAACCTTAAACTTTTTTCAGCCGATTTCACTAACATGTTTACAAACATTCCTCATAAGACCATTATCAGTAATCTCAAAGAGATTCTTAAAATATGTTTCAATAATAGTAACAGTAAATATATTGTTTGTAACAATAACAAAGTTAGTTACTGTAACCTCTATAATGAAAAAACAAAACAAAGGGTTTACAAAGTTGAAGATATTTTGTACCTTGTTCAATATCTATTAGAAAATAGCTATTGCAAAATTGCAAATCATATATTTATACAAAAAGTAGGAGTTCCACAAGGGGGTAATGCCAGCCCTATTCTTGCAGATTTGACATTATCTTACTTTGAATATAAATTTGTCATTAATCATCATAAAAATGATATCTTGTTCAAACCTTTTAGATATATGGATGATTTATTGATTATACATAATTCAGAAGAAAAAAGGATAAATAAATGGTTGCTTGACACTTACAATAATATATTAGAGTTAAAAAATACGCACAAAAGCGAATTGGAATGTGACTTTCTCGATTTAAATATAAGAATTGTAAATAACAAAATTATTACGCAACAATATAACAAAACAGATTACTTTGCGTTTAAAGTTAATAGATTTACGCATGCATCTTCACATATAAGTGTTAAGGTTAAAACGTCCATTATATACAGTGAAATTCTTAGGATTTATAGAACATGCACAAAATTTGAAAATTTTCTGCATAGACTATTAATGCTTTTTAAACAACTTAAGGATTTAGATTATACACAAAATATAATCATCAATGCTTTTATAAAATGCTTCACATTTAACAAATGTATATCATACAAATATATAGAACTTCAGTCCTTCAAAAATGTTAAACATTTCGTTAAATTCATAATTGACAGTCTAGATCATTGCTAATCTTTTGATCTTTTGCCCTACCAAACTGGTATAAATATCCAGCATTACACCACTATTGTTAGTTAACTACTCTTCCCTACTGAAGAGCCTCGGGAGTGGTTGTTCACTTATTGTATTCCTGTATAGGGGTAGAGGCGAAACAGGCTTAATAGTAATCCTTTATTTTTATTCACTATACTTCGTAGCGTACTCTGCATGAACAAGTAATTGAAAGACTTCAAGGTATTTTTTGAAATCCAGTCGGTGCACAGAACTCTTTTGTCAATCTCATAGTAAAAGCTGCATGGAGTCGATACCCCTGTCATGGAGTTTTGAATATTCTGCTATCAGTCAAAAAAAAATTGCCTTTTAA